CTCCCACCCTGCCCTCCATATTGAGGGGCTTGGGTAAGGGGGCAGTTGAACCACACAACCCTTATACTTCCTTCCAGCTCTGGGAGACTATGATCTTGTTTGTCCATATTTCAGCCCAATGAGGACTTGGCCAGCCTCACTTCAAACATGCCCATGATCTCAGTTCAGAAGAAAGACTAGAATGCTGCCTCTGTTTTGTGGTTTTCCAAATTCCAGGATGTTAACATATCCTGGAATCAAATAAAAATGAACAAAAGTTCATAAATGACTAAAAATGAATATAGTCCAGTGAATAAAAAGCAGGGCCCATTTTCTCACTGACATTCTTTTATTCAATAAAGTAGGTAATCAAAGTTTTAAGAATATATATTTTTCCCATTTAATGCCATAAACTTACCATTTTGAATGAGGGAGATATGTGGCTTGTAAACTTGTTTGTGGTTGGTCTTTATGGGATGCCTTGAGCCACTGCTAAACATGTACCAGGCATCCATTACAGTCACCTACCAAGTCAGGGTTGTCCTCTCAGCAGAGCCTCCTTAGGAGATGCGGACAGAAAAAAAAGGACAATTATCTTGTCCCACAAGGTAGGAAGTCCCTCCTTACACCACCCCCACTAACTGGAAAACAAGGAGCCCTGAAATCTGTCTCCCTCTGCCACTAATTGTTTATGACTTTTCAGATAAGTAGCCTTCAGTTTTTCCATCCTCAAAATATGATGGGGAAGGGACAAAATAATCTTTAAGGGCTTGCTGGCTATAATCCCTAATAATGTCACCAATCTGTTCCCAAGAGCTAATTCATAAAATAGATGATAGAGGACTAAGCAATGGCAAAATGATTATGGTTGCAAGGTCTGGAGCCTTGAATGTTGATTCTTTCAGTTCCTGGTCATGTGACTTTGGGCAAATTACTTAACTTCTATGTGCCTCAGTTTCCTCACCTGTATGATTAATAATAGTACTCAGTAAGGTTTAATTGAATTAATACACATAAAGCATTTAGCAAAATGACTGGCACATGTGTTTCACAAATAGTGTAGTGCTATAATCATTATCTAAGAGAGCCACCTAATTGTAAATCCTTAATCACAGGTTCTTTGTGTGGGGAGGAGTGGAGCGGGGAGGGTTGCACCTCCATGAGCAGGAAAAGCTGCAGGAAACAGACAGACAGTCCTGCCTTGGAGACCTAGGCCATCCCTTATCCTTCCAGAAGAAAGAATAATTTCCCACGGTTGTCCTAAAAATTCCAGTAAAACTGACTCATTGCAAGTTCACAGTGTTTCATCTTTTTAACTAGATCTGTGGCAATGTTCTTGTACAGAATTCTTTGTGCCTACTTCCATGGCAATTTGAATAGTCCCGAATTGCAGAAGGTGCTTATCAACTATTTCCACTAGAGCACCTTCTTTGAAAAGCTTGCAATCTCTTAGGGTGAAGCTGTGTCATATAAGTGAGGAAACAAAACAATCTAGGGTTTAGGGCTAATCAAAGTGCTAATTCTTCTAAAGCTTATTATCATGAGGTTGCCCAATAATACCCAATAATAAGAATTTTAAAATGCTTATTTAAATTAAATATATAATGTATCTTATAAGCCTAATTTTCATTTTCAGTATGACCATCAATTATTAATAATAATGAAGGTAAATGTTATCCTAGTAATTTTTCATGCATAAATCAGAAAAAGATTTAACATTCTTTCTTAATGGAAATGTTTTCACATAGTTGGAGAAATGACTGGAGAAAAGGGTCAAGGTAATGTTTACAATGGTAATAGGTGGTAATAGGCCAGTCCCTCTCCTCTAGGGAGTATTAAAGACTGACCAAGTGTGTGGAATTACACATCTCCTGGATCCCAGATAGCTTTGAATTTGGTGACCATTTAGCAGCCACTGTTCCCTATGACTTGTTTGGTACTGATGACTTAAATCTTTGGACTGAAAGCAAAATTGATGGGGTTGCTTGGGGTTGGATATGGAGAGTCAGTGGTCTCCTCAATGCAAACATCTTTAAGAACTATGGTTCCAAGACCCAGCTATTGGTCAGAGGTTGGGCTGTTTCTGCAACCACTGTAGGAAAGGCAAAAGATCATGGATTTTGTTGACAGAGGGTCCTGGTTTTGCACCCATTTGGCAACATATTGTCTGACCTTGGGCAAGGTATTTAAGCTCTATAAGCCTCAGTTTCCACATCTGTAAAGTGGTATGTAAGAAGAATCAAAGGCACCAGCATGTGTAAAGCTACTGTCTTTACATGGAGTAGAAGTTCAGAGAGCCATGGCTGGTCCTTCTGTGCTAGTTGTGTGAAGAGGATAAAGTTTGTGTCTGGTATGCACTTCCCTCACCTATTCTGACATCATATATACACTTCCCTAAGTTTGAGGAAACAAAAGTAGTCTTCTCATAGAAAGAGTTTGGAGCACCTCAGTCTAAAAATGAGAAATGGATCCCACCAGATGTTGTCCCCTGTCTCGTTGTTCCCTGGGCTTTACTGGCCTCTGGCTCTGGCAGTGTTGTGACTAGTCCCTGCTTGGCCCTTGCTTCATCTCCCAGGTGGATCCTAAAAGGGCTCTTCTTCCAGGTTAGACAATTGGCTGGCCTCCCACCTTGAACTGCCTCTGGACTACTTGCCTTCTTACCCTGCAAACTACTCAGATGATTCCAAAACCTGGCGCCCTGTGGAGATATCGAGGCTGGTCAGCAAACACCAGAATGAAATCTCAGACAGGAAAATCTGTGCTTCTGCAGCAGCCCCAAAGACCTGCAGCATTGAGCGTGTCTTGAGGAAAACAGGAAGGTTCCAGAAATGGTTGCAGGCCAAACGCCTCACACCAGACCTGGTGCAGGTAAGTGTGCTGGTCATGTGCTGGAGACAAGGGAGGGAGATGGGGAAGGTATCTATTCTCATCTCACATCTCTGACTGAGGAAAAAGATTTGTGGTCTGTCTAAAGTGGGACAAAAGAATGCTATGAAACAGAGTGGCTTATGACAAGAAAGGAACTAAACAAGATTTAGTTATAGGAACATTTCCCATTGTCATCCTCCATTCTCTCTGATGTGACCATTAGCAACTATTTGGGGAAAAGTTCCTAGCTGCCACCTCTAGCCTGAAGATCTGATAGGATGACTCTCACCAACCCTCTGCCCTGACAAGGCTTAGCTCACCTACAACCTCTCAGGGGGCCCTTGCCAACCCCCAGATGTGCCCTCTCTTGGAAACTCCCATGTACATCCTCTTTCACCATCCAGAGAGCCCACTTTGAAAATCAGCTTACTCGTTGATCTCCCACAGTAAAGAAGAATCAAGCCTCAGTTATTACAGAAGCAGACTCTGGTAATACAGCTCCCTCCACCCACCTGAGAGCTCCCTCCCACCCACTCCGACGAGTAGGTTACCCTCAGAACTTCAGCACATTGCCGTTGTCATCATATACTGCACTGGTCGCTTCCTGCACTATAGTCTGCAGTGTCATCTTCTTCATCCAGACCAACACAACCTTGTACCTTCACAGACATTCCATAGTGCCCCGTGGAGCAGTAGATACCACCTCAGAGGACTGAGGAGACTCACCTTCAGCAAAAATGGGAAGGAAGAATCTCACCCAACCACCCTGCCATAATGAGGCTGGAGGACTTGAACTGGCCCCCTTACTGGGATTCCAAGGCTGCTTCTCACACTCTCCAGGCCACTAGCCCCTTCACATGGGCACCTAAGGCTACCCGGGTGACTTCTGAGCATTCAGACCTTCCTTTGGCCTCTTCGAGATGAGGGACACAGAGCAAAGAAGAGCCACCAATGCCTGGATATTTCATTCAGGTGACAAGACCATCTGGCTTTGTTCTTAGGTTGTGTGAACTGCTTTGAAATCAGGAAGAGTAGAATTGCTGGTTACCTGGCCATCATATGACACTGAGCTTTCCAATGCAGTCCTTCTGCACTCTGTACTCTGTGAATCTCACTGGCATGGAGTGGGAGAGAATGAGCCAGAGAAAGCCAAGCTGTTCCCAGGCTGGAGAGGTGCCAGGATCCAACATAGGATCTTGGAGTTGGTGTGGGAGACAGAGTGGAAGCTCAGGTGGGAAGGACCCCATGGGGGTCTGCCCAATAAGGGGCAGAACCAGAGGACAGAGGACAGACACCAGAGTCTAAACCATAGTTCACACCCTAGGTGTAATCCTCACGTGCCTCTCTTTCTGCTCCTGTAGACAAACCTCCCACGCACTGGTCTGGGTATACACCATCTCTCATTCACAGGCTGGCTACACTATTATGGAAGCATAAGAAGGACAAATATGGGACCTCCTCTGCTTTGCCTCAAATATGTGTTCAGGAACAAATGGAACTCCTCAGGGAGAGAAAAACAAGATACACAAGGAATTGTTTCAGAACCCCCTTGAAAATCCCATCACTTCTTTCTGTCCCCATTCTTGTCAAGTCCCAGTGCTGAAGGGCACAGTTCTCCCAGGCACTGATTCCAAAACACCCCCACCTGGGACATGGACAACATAGCAAAAGACAGAACTTCCTGGTGTGCAAGATATACTTGAAATTCCACAGATGGTGTATAGACTGGTCTGAGGCTTTAAACTAAAGAAAACCCCCTCTTTCCCTCACCTTCTAGACACTTCCTTAATAATACAGAGATTATCCCAGGGTCCTGAGATAAGTCCAAAACAACCTACTGGGGACATCTAGTGTCACCTATCCTGATGAGTGTAGACATTGTGGTATAGGCAAAAGATCCCTGGAGCCTGGAAACTATGGTTGAGTCCTGACTTTACCATCAAAAGCTGTGGCAGAAAGAGAAGGAACAAAGACCCAGGAAGAGGAGAGAGTTTTCAAATCCTGTTCATCTGTTCAACAAGTGTTAATAACTGTTACATCCTACAAGATGAATCAGACACAAATTCAACCCCTAGGAGTATATGGTCCAGTGATGAAGACAAACAAGAACACAAGCCAACAGAAAGCAATGTGGTGGGTGTTATGATGGCACTCTGTATGGAGACAAAGGACAAGCTATTGACTTGGGTCCTTCATCCACTGACTGACCAATTGACCTTGCATTTAAGCTCAGGACTTTCCTAATCTTCCCCAACATCCCTCCTCTAAGAATGAGTTGTGGGGAGGGCTTCTGGATGCTTTCCCAGCTCTGACGTTCTTTGACTTGATATGACTGCTTCACTTCTTTAACAAATCCTGACTAGATGCCTACTATCACTGGGCTCAGTGTTGGGTGCTTGGATTTCTTGTTTCTCAAATGGAAGTGCCTGCTCTACCTGATTCATTCATCCTAGTGAGTTTATAGATATGAAGATGCTTTACAAAAAGTCCATCACCATAGAAATGCACAGCACAGTGTTATTGTAATAAGGGGGTCCCATTCTTCAGTTTGTTGTGCTAAAAGTTGCTCTACCAATTTTTTCATCTTGTGTTAACAGCAGCTAAACAAACTTTCCTTATTTCTGCCAAAAATGCATCCATTAACAACACTTTGTTAAAACACAGTCAAAGCCATAAGCATTTTCACTTTTCTTTGGCCCTGTCCTAGCCATCTTTTCATCCCCACCAGAGATTTTTTTCCTTTCTTTATTAAAAACAGAAAAATATCAATAGCCATTTTATAAATTCTGGACAAACCCCATTCCTATTCCATCCACCAAGCTCAAGGTCATTGCCATCCCATTTTAGCACCATCTCCTCCTTCTCCTGTCCTTCTTTCCAGAGACCCTTGGCTCTTAGGATTCCACAGCATGACCAAGATGTTCTTCACTCTTTTTTTCCTAGGCTTCATCCAGAAAGCATCCAAACTCCTGCTCTGTTCTTCTTAACAAAACTCACCTATCAGATGGTTTCAAATAGATCCATCATCAACAAAGGTGGAGGGAAAAACTCACTTATCTACCCAAGAGAGTTGAAAACAGTGTTCAAGCAAACACTTATACATGAATATTTATAGCAGCACTGTTCACAATAGCCAAAAGGTAGAAACAACCCAATTGTCCATCAACTAATAAATGGATAAACAAAATATGTTATATCCATACAATGGAATACTATATAGTCAAAGAAAAGAATGAAGTACTGATACATGTTACAACATGGATGAACCTTGAAAAAAAACAAAACATGCTAATAAAAGGGGCCAGGGACAAAAGGACAAATATTATATGATTCCATTTTTTAGAAATATCCAAAACAGGAAAATCCATAGAGATGAAAATCAGGTTAGTGGTTGCCAGGGGCTGAGGGGAAGGAAGAATTGGGAGCAACTGCTTAACAGGTACAGAGTTTATTTTTGTGATGATGAACAAATTCTGGAGTTAGAGAGAGGTGATAGTTGAACAGCCCTGTGAGTATACTAAAAGCCACTGAATTGTACACTTTAAAATAGTTAAAATGGTGAATTTTATATTATGTGAATTGTACCTCAATTTTAAAAAGGGAAGAATAAGTCAATCCTGTGATTCTTTTCTCTTAAAGCCCTGAAAGGTGATGGGCAGCTAATCTAATAATTTAATTCATGTCGGGATGTTAACAGCTAATAGCATTTCACTGTTAGCCCTCCAAGAAAGCATTTGCCTATAAAGCCAATATTATAATGCTCCCACTAGCCCATTCCATGACTATCTCAACCTTCCTAATACATCCTTGCATTCTTTTTATAATATGTTTTTTATTGACTTTAGAGAGAGAAGAAGGTAGAGGGAAAGAGAGAGAGAAACATCAATGAAAAAGAATCTTCATCGATTGGCTGCCTCCTGCCCCCCACACCTCACCAGGGATCAAGCCCACAACCTGGGCATGTGCCCTGATTGGGAATCGAACCAACGACATCTTGGTGCATGGGTCAATGTTCAACCACTGAGTCACACCAGCCAGGCCATCCTTGCATTCTTCCTCCCACTAAATCCAGATGTGGTCCCAGGATCCTTCCTAATAATGTTCCAAACAAGCAGCTTCTGCCATGACCTCAGATGGAATATGAGTCTAAATCTATAAGGTGTTCCCCAAAAATGTAGACACATACTTTGAATAATTATAAAGGCAGTGTTTATTAAAATATATTTCATTTTCAAAATTGAGCTATCAGCTCTTAAAGTGTGTATACATTTTTTTGCAACACCTTGTGTTTCTAAGTTACCATTCATTTCAAATTTGACTAAACATGAATCCTAACTTCTGGTTTGAAAATTATGATATTACTCTATTTATATGGGAGTTTCAGGAGCCAACTGGAGAGATATTGTAGGATGGACAATAGGGAGACTTGCTTCATCTTTCAAATCATACCAAATGTCCCAGTGCCTATCAGTAGGGCCAGCCCCAGGGACTCTCTCAGCATGACTTAAAGTGTGTTCTCAATTTCCTCAAAAGCTACTTTCCAACACAGATCTAAGCCAGAGCCCTCAAGTATGCATATATGCATGTGTGTTGGTGTGTGTTTGGGTGAAGAAACTCACAGGTTTTGCTCATAGAAGTAGAAAGGGAGAGAAAGAGAAGAGAAACAAAAGAAAATTGAAGGCAGGACAGATCTGGTTGATGGAGGAACCTCAGAGCATTGACTGTCAGTTCTGCTTATGAATAAATAAGTCAACTTGGGTAAAAAGCCCCAGTTGTCACCATCAGAGGATGCACCAGGGAGTCTGTGGTTCCCCTCCTGCAGGGCCAAGTGCAGCTTTATATTAAGGACACTCTCTTTAGCCACAGGCAGTACACTGCAGCAAGGGGCTGCCAAGGAATCAAGACCAGGAATCAGCAAGAGGGTGAAACAATACAATGTATGTGTATGTGTCTATATGTCCGTGTGTGTGTGTGTGTGTGTGTGCGCGCGCGCGCATAGC